CTTAAATTATTTCACTTGATCCTTTATGGTCCTTAACGAATTTTTTAAATTTTCCTTGGCTAAGCATTGCAGAAATTGAACGCCTTTTCCTCTTATACACCTATATATGTATTTATTTGCTCTAAATGATCTATTCTACTCCTTTGTATTATTATAATGTAATACCATACAGTGTACCAATATAAATTATGTTTAATATCCATAGAATCATTTGTCGCTTGGGGACGCGAGGACCGACTTAGTAGCTTATTTGAGCGCAATCCTTCTTATGCTTTCTGTAAGTTTATCCACTTGCTGAATGTTTTTGATTTTTTAAAACAATTTTTAGTTATTTTTTAAAGAACTATTGATCATCACAGTCCATTGCGTCGTTTGGCCTAGCCTCAATGTGTATCATTCGTAAATAAACTCAACCAATAACTGCATTGCTTGCCCTAGCGAATGACACCGACAGCCTTTCTTAAAGCCTAATTAGCAATTGATTAGCGGAATTTAGCTTGCTTTTAGCCAAGACTTAGAATAATAGTCACAATTGTTAAAATTAACCACGTTCGCATCTCTATTTTAAGAATATTTCTGACAACCGAATCACGGGCCATGAGCTGTCGTGTGTCGACGAGCTTCTTCGGGAAATAAGACACCACCTTCATCCGAACAATATCCGGTAAGCGTTCCACTCTCATCTTTCCATTCGAAAGACATATTTTTTGCATAAAATTGCTTCATTTTTACTTATCATTAGTTGCTTCGAAACTTTTGTCGAGAGCAAGATAGCTCAACTTGTGAACCCGATCTCAGCGGCGATGCAGATTCGTCTTCAAGCTGAAGCAGATCAGCAACAAGAAATCTCACAGTCGCAGGTCCCACAGCCACTCCAGACAATGACACATCAATCGGCCGCATCCCTTGGCCTTGGATACACGCAGCGTGGGAGCTCTGCGACACCCTATACTTGATATATCCTTTGAGCAAGTCCGGACTTAATTTCCCAGAGGCGAGCAGCCCAGTTGGTCTTTCGCAAGAATCCAAGCCAGTTACTTTGTTCACATCTTCGTTAGAAAATCTAGCCCACCAAATAAAACGCAGTTGTTACCAAACTATTTTTGAACCAGTGGGTTTATTGTATAGACATAGATAGGAAAACACGAACAAAACAGATCAAGCGACGTTAAATGACAACAGAGAAGTGTAAATAAGAATTCATTTAAGGCCCGGGCATTTTTTAAATCTTTAACAAACTATTCATTCTGATCTTCATCCCGCGAATTTTGGCTCCCAGACGCAGGACGTCGCCGGCGACGTCCATCTGCGGGAGACCGGAAAGGCTGACGTCTGCTTCTACCGTGATCAGGGCTTCTCGCATCGCCATTTTCTTTGGTTTCTTCTCGAAATCTCCTCTGCTCTCTTCCAGAATCCCGATCCCCCCTTAGTGACATGGATTGTTCTGAAGTCGAACCTTTGTCTCCCCTCTTGTAGTCACCCGACGTATTTCCGGTCGGCGACTGGCGGTCTCGTGACCTAGGCTGTGAGAGACTCCTTGATCGTGAACGAGAAATGTGTCGGCGATCTCGCATCCGTGACCTTCATAAATAAAATAGCATATCGATGACGAATGGTTTTTTGCGTGCAAAAATATAGCAGACAGATTCAGATGAATCCAATAATTGGTATGATCGGAAACGTAAGCTCTATGCGGATTGTCAAATGGGGCGTAAATTTGGCTACCAAACACAGTTATCAAAGGATAAGTTTGCCAAAAGCATTTGAGCTGAATCATTTTTGATAAAAGAAAATTAATGAAGGACTAGTCGTAGGCTTGAATTTCGTTAGACTTTAATAACGAACTTAGATGCTAAAAGGTATATGTGAACCACCAACAGTTTGGTGGATCAATCAAAGCAAAATGTGGCTTATCATTAGTGATATTCCATTGTTAGTATATATGTGGGAATCGGCACATAAATAATGTCTAAATAATTA